CCAGAGCTCCCAGAGCAGCACTAGGGAACTGAAACAATCATGCATGGTGGGCAGGCTTCAGTGGCGCTTCCAGTCAAGACATACTAGGAGAGTGACGAGGGGGTCTGCTTCTGAAGAAAAAATTGGCCACTGAAAACTTTATGGATAACAGTTGACCCACAGCTAAGTGCTCATGGAAACAGCAGTCAAGAAATACAATGACATATTGCGTTGGGCCAATCTGCTGCAAAAGGCCTCTTTAAAGTATTAAAAAGTGTGTCTGACCCAAACCATGGTATTTTCAATTGCCTCAAATGCATGCAAAAGCTGGACACTGAATAAGGAAGACTGAAGAATTCATGTATTTGAATTACGGTGTTGGTGAAGAGTACTGAGAAGACCACGGACTGCCAGAAGGACGAACAAATGTGTCTTGGAAGGAGCACAGCCAGAATGCGCCTCAGATGCAAGGTGGGACTCCGCCTTGTCCTTTGGTCACTGTGAGGAGGGAGCAGTCCCCGGAGAAGGGCGTCATGCTTGGCCAGGTGGAGGGTCAGCACAAAAGAGGAAGGCCCCCAACAAGGTGCACTGACGGCGTCTGCGACAACGGCCTCAGCCACAGCAAGAACTGTGCGGATGGCGCAGGGCCCGGCAGCGTTTGGTCCTGTTGTCCACAGGGGTTGCCGTGGGAACCAACCCAGTGGCCCCTAACAACCTACAGCACAGAAAGGTCTTAACAGAGGACAGAGCTGGAGGCCGACTTCTTTACTGGTCAAGCTACTGTTTGGCTTTAAGATGACTTCAGGGCATAGTTTTGGTTTAACAGTTATCTCAGGGCAACAGTTCACCCAGCTCCCATGGCTCCAGAAAGTCTGGGATGCATGGGAATTTGAAATTCTGTTCTGCCCTTCCCCCCTTTGGATCAGGATTCTGCTATGAAATCTGTGACCAGAATGTTCAGTAATGGTGGCTGTGCGCCATCCAGTTCTGGTCTCCTGGTAAAGGAGGCAGTTAGTCATGGAGACAATCAGCCACACATTCCATGTCCTCCTCCTGTTCCTGGCCCTGCTTCTGTTACTCCAGGTAGGTAGAGACCAGGTGTGCCTTGGCTGGCCACTTGCAGGCTTTTATGACCCCAGGCACTATCCAATGAAC